CCAACAGTTCCCATGCCCACCCTTTGCCTTCAGGATGTGATTCAGGCAGATGCCACGCCAGGCATTTGCAAGCTGGGCCTGTTCCCGCCCTGGGTAGGGGGGCGAGGAGAGGCCCCTCCAGCCCCGCCCCTGCCCTCACCCTTGGTCCTACTCCTTGGGACCTAAGCTTGAAGGAAGGAAGTTTTGAGAGGGGGCTGTCTCCTGTGGCCTGGGCCCAGCCCTCCCACTGCCCAGAGAACTTTCTGCAAATTGCAGTCTCCAGCCTCTCCAGGAGTGTGGTACTGGCTGGTAAGCTTGGATTCTAGTTCTGGCCATTCCATTTGGGCAAGTCATCTCCCCACTCTGGGCCTCAGTTTCCTGCCTGGCAAAAGAGAAATATTGTACTAAAGGGATATAGAAACTGGCAGAGTAGCAAGTGGCGTGGGCAAGCAAGGAACAAGGACGAGTGCTTGGAGTTGGGCTAGAGAAGGTATCAGGGGTGAGTTGAGCTGAGTTTTGAGTAATGGGAGAATCTCTGATGAGGACCTTGAGGAGGGGAAAGGGTGTTTTAGGCAGAGGGGATACCCAGAGGAAAGGCTGGCAGGTGGAGTGTTGGCTGGAAACCTAGCCTAGGACCCTGTGGGATGAGGGCTGTCAAACTGCTCAGCCAGCCTCTCCCTTCTGAGGCCATATGATGATCTGATTAACATCTGACACCTTCACTAGCCTATACCGTAATGACCTCATCTGTCTCTGTTGCTGCTCTCGTCATAGTAGCCTGAACAGTGCCTGGTACATCAGTGTCCAATAAATATATGTTAAATGAGGGAGAAACTTCTCCCCAAACAGGATGGACTTTAGGGCAAATGTTTGTTCCAACAGCCCTTGCAAGAGCCTCCCACGGACTCAAATAGTGGTTTGCTAAGTGTGGTCCTGAGAGCATCACCTGGAAACTTGTTAGAAATGCAAAGTCTTGAGCCCCAACCCAGACTTAACAATACGTTTTAACAAGCTCTCCAGGTTGATTCTACTACTTGTTAAACTTTCAGAAACGAGGCTCTAAAACTATGCCCACACGCACCCTAAGAGCCCACGAAAAATACTTGCAGATGGAGAATTTAAAACTGCGGCCAAGCCTGGCCTAGAACCCAGGCATTCTTGACCCTTTCCCTTTCCCCAGATCAGTCTAGGGCACAAAGAAGAGAACAAACAGCTCAATCATGCCCCCCCCCCACCTGGTTTTTGGAACAGAGACTTGGAAACGCCAAGGGTCCAGAAACAGGGGGCGGAGCATTCCTCCGGGGAGTAGAAGGCGGGGCCAAATGTTCTGAGCCCCGCCCCTTCCCCGTTGCCCCGGGAAACCCCGGGTTGTAACAATAACCTGGTGACGCGCTTCGGGGAGGGATCCTGCCGAGTCCGTGGGCGGGACAGCCCTGCTGCGGACCAATGAGACCTCTCGGGCCCCGCCCCCGCGCCCCCTCCCCCAGCGCGGAGCAGGGGGCGGGGTCGTGCCTGCCACTCCTCCCCTGCTCCGTAGGCGGCGCTGTTGCGTATAGGGGCTGCGGCTGGGTCGCCCCGAGCCGGGAGCCC